AATATTGTGAGTTATCATTATTATTTTGTAATGAACTATGTAAATTTGGTAAATTTGTTAAAGTATTTTCATTATTAAAGGATTAAGTTTGTGAAATTTTAGGTGCTCGCAAATGAAACTGTGAAGTTTCAAATTTGTCAAATCGTGAAAGCCGATGTTAGGACATTAAAAAAAATTTAAGTAAAATATTTATTACTTTCATTATTGTAACTATTAAATATTTTTTAAATATTTTTATATCAGTAGCATTGTGTAATACTGATTATTAAAATATCAATTTACTTTACAATTATTTTTAATTGCTAAAACTAAAATGAAGAAGAAACCTAATAATAAGACGAAAAAAAAATTTATTGGTAAGTATTTATAATAACAAACCTTTTTGATAATAATACTAATTATTATTACCTTTAGATTCTTCTGGAGATGAAACTTCCAAGCCAAGAGCGGCATCAAACAAATATACAAAAAAGGTGACAAATGAAGGTAATAATATTTATTACAAAAAAAAATTTTTTTTATTTGTTTAAATTAATTTTTTTGTTCCTTTGTTCTTCTAGAAGAATATAATAATTCTTCTCGTGCACCATTTGAGCAACTTAATTTAAATAACACTATGATAACTAATAATTTAACATGGACACATCATCAAAATCAAGACTTGGCTTACAGTTATACATCAAAAAGTCTTTCAAATTATCCAAGACCCTTACACAATATTAATCTAGCATTAATTTATAATTCAGATTATGTACCAACTCATAGCTCAATTAATTCTAATTTGTTAAATCCAAATATAACTTATAATACTACACCGTTAAACAAAAGTGTAGATAGATTTCAAGCTCCAACATCATTTTATAAACATAGGTCTACAACATCTAGAAACATGATTGCGTCAGAACCACATAGAAGTTTGTCACAAGTAACTACAATGTCATTAGATGATATATCAGACTCACATTCTTTACTGGGTTATGATTTAATGAATAATCAAGATCAAGAATCTTTTGTAACTCAACAAAATTTCTGTAAAGAAAAGATTTTTAGACCAAATGCATCATCTTAATATACTTCATCCTCACCAGCAACTTCTTGTGATATGCCATGTGCATCATCTCAATATGCTTCTTCCTCACCAGCAACTTTTTGTGATATTTCTACTTGGAGTTCTAATAACAATTCACAAAAGTATTATAATCAATGCAAAGGAAATTCTTCAAACGTAGATACACAATCTCAACATGCTTTATACTCACCAGCAAATTCTTATAATATGACTGCTAATACTGATTCACAAGAGTTGAACTTTTCAGATGAAGAATCATTAGTTAATTGGCTGTGCATACGGCCAGATTTAATTGCACAAGTACAAAAATTATCAACAACTTCTTTATTACATAAGGTTTGTTTTACTTATTTGTACTTTAATAATAGATAAGGCTATACAAACTTAATAAATCGCTCTCATAATATAAAATTTTTAAAAATAATCTGCAAACTGGCTTTTAATTTAAAAACTACCCCAGTTAATAAATATACTTAAAAAGTTTTGTAAAATTTGACCCGGTCGGGATATGAGAACCGATTTATTAGGTTGTATGACCCAATATCTAAACTTATTATTTTAATACATATTATAAATTTAAGCATTTAATTACAATGTTTTATGTTACATAAAATATATAATATTTATTAGAATGAAGTTAATACTTCTGAACCGTTTGACAAAGAGACTATAACAAATCTGGTTATGGAACAATGCAAGCTTCTATTTTGACGCACACGAAATCCTACTAAAAAAATGCATGAAATGCTAATTAAAAAAATTGTTCTATCAATGGATTTCGTATCTCGAGAATTTAAGATCTTAAACAAAAAGGCATGTGAATACTTTGATAATTTTTGACATACGTTTAATAAAGATATGGCAGCTCTTGCTAAGGATTTGCTTGTTAAGAATAGGTAAATATAAGCTGTTATTGTATAAAAAAATTTAATATAAATTAAAATTTATTTATTATAGTGATCCAACTAATGAAAATATCAAGCAATTTGTTGCTGGTAAAGTTTGGCGGCAAAAACTTGGCAAATATCTTGATGCTAGCGATTTCTCTAAGTTTAAAAAGTCCCCTTCCTCACTCAAGTCTCTTGAAAACTTTGTTGCTGAAAGTTTAAAGATTCACATTGAATATTTGGTTGCAGTCCGTAATAAAGAAAAGCCATCCTACAGTGAAAATGTCTTGACGAAGATTAAGACACTTGATCAACTCACTTTTTATTTAACTATTTCATCGGCAAGTTGACGCAATTATGCAAATGAATTAGATATTGATCAAGCAAGTACAGAATTATCTTCAGATAATGAATAATGTTTTATTATATTATTTTCATACAATCAAAAACTAATAAGTAAGATATGACTTAAATTTACTTATCGTTATTATTACATGATCATCCAATTTCTCAAATTCATTTATAACGATAACAAAAACAAAGTTACAAATTTCATGCTATACAAATAAATAAACGTCCCAAAAGTTCTATATATTAACTTATTTATGATTTTAATGACGAGCCCAGAACCTCCATGGTTAAATAAACCTTACATTTTTGCAGTCTATTGTTATTAAACAATCTAATGACAGACCAACTTGTCTTTTGCATATGACTTTGAATCCCGTGATATTGTCCGGCTTAGACCCAATGTACAGAGGTAAATAAAATTAAGGTGTATATTACCTCATCTGGTTGTTCCTTGAGTGTATTCCATGTTGGTGGTGCATTAAACAGCAAAAAGTATTTTGCTCTATTTAAAAAGTTTTAATAATTCAGGTACACAAATTTTAATGAATACAAATATCTTCTCTCAGATATCTAATAGTTATTCTACCTAGTGATGTGCCATTTATATGATACTTGATTTTTTTTCGTGTACAGTATGTGCAGTACGTATAGTTGTATGGTGTGTCTAACATATGTAATATACATAATTCACATAGCATTTATAAACCAGTTATATGTAACATTTTGCAAAGAACAATTGTTGTTAGAGTGCAAAAGACAGTTTCATAGTCAAAAATTTGAGATATTAATACTTTAATTATTTGTTCTAGAATATTCCAAAAAAATTTTCGCGTCTGTACTGTACTGTACGCGGCACATCTCTAATTCTACCTGATTGTCTTTTTTAATTTCAAAAAAGACAGCCTCTTCGTCTTTTTACAACTTTTACAATACTATAGTTATTCGATTCGCATGCTTTTTAAATAATGTCTTGCAAAATTTTTTAACAATTTAAAATAATACTAATAGTAGTTCTTAACTAAATACAAAGTAGCAAGAAAATATTTGACCTTAAAAGTGTGAGCAATAATTCCAAATAAATATAAAATATGTATAGTTGATAAAATAAATACGAATTGTACAGATTATAAAAAAAATTCTTTAACCAAAATTCTTTCATATAGATTAAACCATATCTTAACACGAAAAATAATAATAGTAATGCATCGGGTTCGCTTTTAAAAGTTAAATCAGGAAGGTCTCTACATACCCTATTGACATATAAAATATTATGGATTTCTACTATACAATATCTATAATTTGAAAATAGAGAACATATAGGATAGTTGATGAAATTCAAGGTAAAAAATTTCATTCAAAGAAAATATACGTACGTACATACAATAACTGATAAGTTATGTGGCTGATTACTACGCCAATACCTTGGCATACATTCAAAGGGTGTTGTTTCGACCCACTCAATGTACCGAATTGGTCATGCTTCAAAAATTATTTAGTAAGTGTTAGTAAAATAGAAGCAGAATCAATTCAAAAGTTATCGAAGAACCAATTCAACTCACCAAATATACCTGCCCTTTTCAACTCATCCTATCGTTGGTTTCGCGAACATTTTTATTCCAACGTAACTGTCTCGTGTTTTAGCCTGGCAAGCAACACTGTTACGAAAAAATTTTATTTATGCTAAATTAGCAACCAACTGTAGAATAGTGTTTTAAAAAAAAAAATCAATTGAATTTATAATAAAACAAAGCGGATTTTTAATCTTAAAAAACCAAGCTAACGATATCATATTATTTGACAATATTAATGTATTTTATTTTATTCGAATAGCTTTAAATTTTTTTATAGTAATCGTAATCCTCACAATAGCATTATAAGATTCTGTGAAATGCTTTTATCTATTGATGGAATTTATAAGAATTTTTAGCCAAACATGAAAATTATTAAAAGCCTAATAAATTTATTTATAATTATATAGTGAATGTCTAGTAAGAACCTATATCTATAATTTGATATAAATTTTTTTTTCAATTATGCTTATATTATTCTATAATACTTATTAATTTTGCTAAAATTATAATATTTTACTGCTAACGCAAAAATGAACGATTTTAGCAAAGTATGATCAATGTTTTAATTAAATATAATGCAAATGTTATTTGATCTGGATCATATGAGCGAAAATTTTTGATGGAAATGTTGTGATTATTAAAATTAAGTGATATACGTAATGATTTATTAATGATTTATTAATGATTTATAAATAATTTATGAATATTATGCAGCTTCATGATCAATTTCATAAGCAATTTACTGCTAAGAAAAGTAATTGTCCAATTAGATTCAATGATGATTTATAATTATTGTCGTAGATCATAATTAAATCGGATTAAGGGTTTCTATTTGACCCTCTAAAACCCACTTATACTTGTTTATTATAAATCCACTTATACTTGTTTATTATAAACCCACTTATACTTGTTTATTATAAACCCACTTATACTTGTTTATTATAAACCCACTTATACTTGTTTATTATAAACCCACTTATACTTGTTTATTATAAACCCACTTATACTTGTTTATTATAAACCCACTTATACTTGTTTATTATAAACCCACTTATACTTGTTTATTATAAACCCACTTATACTTGTTTATTATAAACCC